CACATGCACAATGGAATACTACTCAGCCATAAAAAAAGAATGAAATAATGCCGTCTGCAGCCACATGGGGGGCTGACAAATATCATACTAAGTGAAATAAGCCAGAAAGAAAAAGACAAATACCCTATGAAACCACTTACATGTGGAATCTTAAAAAAAAAAAGACACAAATGAACTTATTTACAAAACAGAAACAGACTTACAAACATAGAAAACAAATTTATGGTTACCAAAGAGGAAAAGTGGGGGAGGGATAAATTCGGAGTTTGAGATTATTCAATCTAGAGAATGAGTCCACTGCTGTATATCTGTACATTTGCAGGAATAAATGAGTGGAGGAATGACACCTGGTCAAACATAGCCTTTGACTCACCACGCACTTTTCTGGTTCCAGGAATGTTCTCAGACAACATGCTCCCTCTGCCTCTCTGTGACCCTTGGGAACAGAAGAGTAGACAGTGACAGCAATGAGCATCTGCAAAGAGGGGTTCTTAACTGGACTCCCAGCTCGCTCTCTCCAGCTCTCCTCCCGCCCCTGCTTGGCCTCCCTCCTCACTGGCCCCCAAGACACGCCACCACCCCAGGAGCCTCATCCCTTCCCTGCCTACCTGAAGCTTCCTCCGCACGGCATAGAGACCCTACTTGAATCAATAGTCAAATCCTTCCTTGGAGGCTGCAGAGCAGGGCCCGGGGCTCAGCACCAACGCACTCTTACTTAATCCCACCTGCCCCTCCCTGAGCATCGCTGCCTGGCTGGGAGGGTCCTGCTCTCTACCGGCCACGAGCCTCGCAGACGGTGTCCATCCCTCAATAGAAAAAAAAGTAAAACTGGAAGCAGGGCCTAGAGGACTCAGGATGGAGGTTGACGGCTATGGAGGGAAGAAGGAGGAGCAAGGAAGCGCCCGTGGGACTGGAGGATGGAGAAAGGCTTCCAGACTGAGCATTACAGCCCGCAGCAGAGGAGAGCAGAGCGTGAATTTCTCTAGGTTCCTACCTTCCAGCCTTTTGTTTACTTTTTTTTAAAGCACTTTTTTTGTTTTTTGGGGGGAGGAGGTAATTAGGCCTGTTTGTTTGTTTGTTTTAATGAAGGTACTGAGGACTGAACCCAGGACCTTGTGCATGCTAGGCATGCGCTCTACCACTAAGCTAACAGAAGAGTGCTGATCGAGGGGCTGGCCCTAACCTTGACTGTGCGGTACAGATGACTAAGACTCTCTCTTGGGAGAGGAGCTTCCAGTGGGCGGGGAGAGACATATACATAGAACTATGCCTGGGAGTCAGGGCTGAACTAGGGAGTGAATGGTGTGCTGTTGGCAGCCAGGGGAGGCACAGAGGTAACCCTTCACAGCAGGTGAGCCCTGGAAATCTCCAGGCCTCAAGCAGAATGCCAGAGCCACAGCCCCAGAGCTTCTGGAGTGGTGAATGAGTAGTGCGGGGAGGTAGATGAGCCCAAACAGGATCTCAGGGGGTCAGCGGGGCAGAACTGCAGGGAGGGGCAGCAGCACTGGGACTCTGTACCAAGAAGAGGCTTAGGACCAGGGAGGATGAAGGGGCAGGGGCAGTAGGGGAGGGGAGCCAGGATTCAGTTAAGCTATGAAAGGCTGCCCGGAGGACAGCAGTAGGCATCTGGGGGCTTGGGGATAGGTGGAGAACACCAAGCAGAGTGGGGCAGAGGCCAAGTAGCCTAGAGAACCAGCTGTAGAGGCTGAGCTGGAAAACACAAAGCTGAGAGCCCTGGGGATTGTGACTTGAGCTGTTACCAGCTTCTAACAGCTCACAAACAGCTCTAGGCCCCTCCAGGTCCTAGTGCTCCGGAGAGCACTGTGGGCCCCTGCAGAGTTTGTATCTGCCTGGCAGTTGGACACAGACCCCCACAGGGGCCCCAAACAGCACCAGGTGGGAGATGACTGTCCCAGTAACGTCCTAAGGGCCCCGTCCTGATGGAGGGCTCCGTGTCCCCATCTGCCTAGAACCTGGTCCAGCCTGGCCAGGTCCCTGTTGTAACTGGAAGGAGATGAGGCAGAAAAACCCAATGTTGACTTCAAACGGGAGCAAACACATTGCTAAGAGTTTTACAGCCATTGCTCCTTTATATAAAGTAGTATTTCTGCCTTTCTGTAAGATAAAAATGTTTGCTACCACTTTATAGAGACAGCTGGACTTTCTCCAAATTCAGAGGCAATGTTTGGCGTAGTCTGACTTAAAATATGAGCTATATTATTCACTTGAAATTTGATTCTAGAGGTATCCAGGCATTTCATTTATTTTTACTATTATAAGCTGGAATGTGTGGGCGGGGGACACTCCTGTAAAGACTTCAAGTGAGATTCAGAAATGTACATTAAGTTAATTAAATTACATTGAACTTTGCCTGCATTTTACAGGAGGGGGGGGAGTGGTGGCTCCAAATCTTCATTGCTTCCTCCCAAGCATCTGCTTTTGGTCCTCTGTTTACTGGAATGACACACTAGAAAGGACTCCTCATGACTCGCTGTCTACCTCGTCCCCCAGACCCACCAAAAGCAGCAAAGTAAATGAGAAACAACAACTCTCTGTCTTTGATTAAATGAGGGAAAACCTCAAACTCCAGACTCTAAGATAAATAAGGAAAACTGCTAAGGGCAGGGAACACTGGGCCATCCAGGGAGACCTTCAAGGCAGGGCCAGTGCAGGCCAGGCCCATGCAGGTGGATGGCGTCTGGAGGGTGGGGAGAAAACAAGCACTTTTGACCCAGCAGAGTGGGAGGAGATAAGGTGCTGGGGAGATAAGAGGTCACATGAAGGACGTGGCAAACAGCTACCTTGGCTAACGTGGGCAGCAGGGAGGGACTCCAGAGGAGGGAGCAGCTCTGAAGCTGCCGCTCTTGCTAAGCTCAGCAGAAAAGTCAGCAGCCCAATGGCACACACCCGTCCAGGGAGGCATTGGCATGAGATAGTGCAAACACCTTGGCTCCTCCCCAACACATCCTTGTGAAAACAGCTCATCCAAGAAGAATTCAGCCACAGAATGAATAGGCAAAATATCTATACTGTGGTGGTGGTGGGGGGGGCGGATAGAGGAAAAACAAAGGAGCAAGTGAAGACCATCTCTCAAAAAGATTTTATCACAGATAAGATGAGCATCACGAGCCAAGATTTTCCCCAAGAACCCACAGAATCTATGAAAACCATCACCTCCATCATGCAAGGTCGCAAGGCTGATATGGAAATGACAGGACAGCAGAAAGAGATGAAAAGATTTTTTTTCTAGGAGAGCTCAGGAAAAAGAGGGGGAGGAGAATTTGACTATGACCGAAATAAAAGGCCACACATGAAGCCACGAGGAGGGGACGAGGGATTGTGGATAACAATCAGGGACAGAGAGGAAAAGATAAAGAAAATTAAGAAAGATGAATTGAAAAAGAACAAATAAGGGAAAGGGTTAGAGAAAAATGGCAGACATAGAACAAAAGAGATCTGCTGGACACATCGTTGGAATCACTGAAGAAACAAGCAAGAGGAAAAAAAAGAAATATTCAAAAATGATTCAGGTAGTGGGGAGGGTATAGCTCAAGTGGTAGAGCACATGCTTAGCATGCACGAGGTCCTGGGTTCAATCCCCAGTACCTCCTCTAAAAATAAATAAGCCTAATTACTGCCCCCCCCGCCAAAATAAAATAAATAATACAGTAATAAATAAAAAAAATTTTAAAATGATTCAGGTAGTGGAAGGAACCCATGTCCATCAGCTGATGAGTAGAGAAGCAGAATGTGGTCTATCCATACAACAGAACAGTGTTCAGCCATAAAAAGGAATGAAATTCTTGTATTTGCTACGACATGGATGAACCTTGAAAACGTTATTCTAGGGGAAAGAAGCCAGACACAAAAGATCACATCTTGTACAATCCCAGTTATGTGACGTGTCCAGAATAGGCAAATTCACAGAGACAGAAGCAGATGACTGGTTGCCAGGAGGGTGAAGGGAACGGAGAGTGACTGCTAATGGGAATGGGGTTTCTTTGGGGGATGATGAAAATGTTCTGGAATTAGACAGTAGTAATGGTTTCACAACCTTGTGAGTAACTTGAAAACAGCTGACTTGTATACCTTAAAAGGGTAGATGTACTAAAATAGTGTGTGGATTTTATCTCAATTCAAAAAAAAAGATTTAGATGAAAACAAAAGGAAAATGATTCAGGTAACTCTTGCAAAATAGAAGAAATTGTGAATCCACAGCTTAAAACGGGCACCACACCATAACCCAGAAAGAGCTCCCACACATCAGTCAGCACTGAGACATCGCCTGCAAAGATGCTGAATTTCAAACATAAAGCAAAACTCACAGCTTCCGGGCAGAAAGGAAACAAGCACACAAAAATCAAGCCACCTGCAAGGGGTAAATCAAGCTGCCGTCAGAATCTCCAAAAAACTTTCACTGCCAGCAGATAGTGCAGCAAGGCCTGGAGAGTCATCGAGGAAAAAAAAATGTGACTCAGGAATTTCCTGCCTTTCTCATACAGCTTCTAGGCACCAGAGAGATGTTTTCGACGTTTCAGAACTCGTGAGGAGCCTGCTAGAAGCTCACCACTTGCAGTGGGACCTGCAGCATCAGCCTCACCTGGGAGATGCCCTCAGACACGCAGACTTTCAGACCCTGTCCCAGACCTACTGAACCAGAAGCAGCAGTTTGACTAGATCCCCAGATGACTCTTAGGAACATAAAAGTTGGAGAAGCACTGTCCTAGAAGACAATTTTCAGCCAAAGACAAACAGAAAAACTAGCCGTGACAGCAGCAAAGTCGGTGATGAGTACTGAATGCATTTAAGTGTACAACTGAGCCAAAAACAAGCAGCGATTTTGGTTCCAGAAAATGAACGTAGAAACAATCAAAGAAACTGTCTTCAGTAAAGTCAGAAAAGGAGAGAGGCAGAAGTGGTGGCTGACATTAAAAGTAAGTTGATTTTCTCATCTTCCTCAGCAGAAGAGTAACTAGATACCATCTTAAGCTAATAAGTAGTAAGGATATATTTAAAGAAATAACACAGGGTGGCGATACCAAAACCACATTAAATGCTGAAGGCGGGAGACTAGTGGGCTCTTTACTGGGGAATCTGACCCCCAACAAATGGTCCACATCATCACCCACTGTGAAGCCCCCAGTTGACAAAGCTCACCATGTTTTCAAAGTCCCCAGTTAACCTCTTAGTCCCCATTCTTAATCACGAGCAGGGAGCCAGGAATCACTGGACATCTGATGAAAATGTTGAACACATTAAAACAAGAGAAAAAAAGCAACCTGAAGAGACTAGACATTGCACTGGGAGAAGAACATGTTATGCATGTGTTAAAACTCTTCAAATTATGCACCAAAAAAGTGAATACTTCTGCATGTAAAATTTTTAATTAAGATTTTTAAAACTCTCTTTGAAATCTTTAAAATATATATATCCTTAAAATAATAATAGAACGCTATTTTTAAAAAAGAAAGAAGGAAGGAAAGAAGGATAGAAGAAAGGAAGGGAGGGAGGAAGATTCAGAAGAAAAAAAACTCTTGGAAATTCAAAAACTGAGAACATAAATGGAAAACATGCAAAGTGAAAGTTGGAAGATAATTTGAGAAACTCTCCCAAGAAGGAGGGCAAAGAAAAGGGATAGAAAAGATGAGAAAAATGAGAAAAACTCTCCAGTTGTGCATCCATGAAGTTGGCCCTGCTCGCACACATTTTTAAGTTAGCA